TCTGCTGGAGATTTCAAGTGTTTGAATAACGTATCAGGTCCGATACCGATACTGGTTTTGATTTGGTTTACGTTTTGTGTGTTCGGTCCAAATTTCCACACTTTAAAAAAAATCTGGTTTCATTGTGCATTGACTGGACCTAAGTTGTCATCATCATGTTCTCTGACCCTGTCCCCGTTTACCCCCCCCGGCCCCACCTGTCTGAGCCACGGACTTCCTGCACCATTATTATGCCAGTCACACGGAAGACTCAAGAACAAAAGACCTTAACTGGGGAAACAGGGCAGGAAGGCACTGATGATATTAATCAACTCTGGGCCGGCCATTGTATTAGTTGTGTCACTTTGTGCCACAAGGTTTGATATATTGATTATCCTTCTACGTGGTCCGTTAGAAAAAGGAAAAAAAAATCGAAGGAATGATTTATGAAGACCCCAGAGTGATCATTACCGCGAGGTCTTTTCTAGCACCGCCGCTGCTGCTGCTGCTGTTTCTCCTTTTTCAGCAGTGAAGTTTTCTAGGGTTCCTGAGGGACGTTGGTTGTCCTTTAGGTGGTGTCCTAGTGCAGAGAGGGTGTCAGGACCGCGCCACGGCGGCTAGTACTGTTAATGACCATCTGCTTTGAGAGCGACCGTTTTTTAATGAAGACGGATGTGGGGGGGATCCTACCGGGGGGGTGGGAAGGAGGGGTCAGGCGGGGGTCTAATGACGCACCCTCTGATGTCTGCACTGTTTTTTTGTGTGGTTCCAACACAACAAGTAACTCCGACAGTCACACCAGTCCTATTAAAGCTCTCACACACACACCCACAAACTGGTGCTGAATTACATAACTTTAACAGGAACTCACGGGGGAAATTCACACGTTATTAGAGACCTTTAAAACTGCGATCAGGCCCACTCACTTAAAAGTAATATGCATTACAAGAGTGGTCTTTGAACTTTTTACACCCAGGACCGTCTCCAAAAATATTTGGCTCCCCAAGCACCTCCAGTGTGAGCAATATTAAACTACAACAGCCTTAGCTCCACAGTAGGAGGAAGAAGACAATTCATTCCTTATGATACGTTTGGATTATTAATCAGGCCATGCTGAGCCGTACGATTAATCGCTTTTTGACTGTGATGTCAATTTTTGACTGAAATTGACTAAAACGTCATGGAACATGGAATTCTTTTCTTGAGGTCATTTAATTTTAAAAAGGGATTTATTTTTTATTAATTGACAGTTAATTAAAAACAATCATGTCATTATGGGCAATGTAATATTTTTATTAAATTTTACAGTCACTTTCTTAGATCTGTTTCTTAGATAAGTCACTAAGTACTTCGTTTTATAGTTTATACCAGGATTGTTTCTCGAGTGAAAGTCACTAAGTACTTCAGTTTATACCAGGATTGTTTCTCGAGTGACCACTAATCGCCCAAACTAATGTCTAATAAAAAGAGTACATCTGAACTGTTTTATTGATGCCCTGATTGGTCACTGCAGTGTCTCCAACAAAAGGTCAGTTCTCTTCGTGATAAACATAACGACATGTTTTGTTTTGTGGGGTTTTTTTAAGCAATGTAAAATGTTTTGCTCTTGAGCATCGGTGCATCTGCAGCTGATTTTCATTCTCCACTGCCGTTAAAGTTAAACGCAGCTAAATCACTGTTGTTTCATTTACTCTGTCGTTGAGTCACGTCGTGCTATGCTTGAGTTATCTTAGATTTAATTGGCTCTCTGTCACTGGAATTAAATTTCCTTTCAGTCTTGACCCAGATCTTTTGTTATCCCAGCTTTTTTCACTCGCCGTGTTTATATTAAAACCTCAGGAAATATTTCAGTTTGTGCGGCAGAGTCAGACCAAAGCCTCGTGATTCTTCCCAAACACTTGGGCCTCAGCCTTCGAAGACACCATTTCCTGAGCTGCAGCGTTCAAAACATCCACAAAGGAAAAGAAGGGGATTTCACAGCACGCACGCCTCGAGGCGTCACCCAGAATATACTCTTAAATTAAAAACAAGCCAGTGTCCAAATGGCAGCCTTAAACGTGGAGGGTGTCGTGTTAGCAAACTTTTATTGGAGTCATCCTGTTAGAAAACACAGCAGGGAGGCAGAGAGGATGAAAAGGACGGAGCTGTGATAGAAGACATGGACGCCTGAGGTCCCTGCTGTCCTTTCTTCCTTCTCCCATCACTTTGCCGTAAAGGTTATTAGAGGAGTCGACAAAGATTGATGGACGGAGATGGAAGACGCTCAGAATCCCATTTCTCTCACACTCATCTTCATCTGGGTTTGGGTCCTGACAGTGGAGGAGCGCAAAGGAGGAGGAGGAGGAGAAGGAGGAGATGGATGGATGGATTGGTCTCCTCTTTCAACTGTACGTCACGCACAGGCCTTGAAGAACACACTTTTTATTTGCCTTTTACTTTAGAAAGCGCTAATTTAACACTGTTGGCAACGCAACAAGCTAAGAGTATTTTTTTAGTGTTTACGGGATGGTTTAATGCCCCATCGGATATGGGAACGCATAACGCCGTATTTATCTGTTAATATGCTACGAGTAAGTCTGCGAGGTGCCACCGGCTAATAGGAGCCATTATAATGAGCGATGGTACCAATAAATTGATATCTCCGACAGTCGCCGTCGTCTCCAGAGCTGCAGTTAAAAAGACCGACTCAGCCTCCGCTAACCTTGTGTTTGACTCGGAACTGTCATTAGCAAATCAAAAGTGGATTAATTAATCACAGGTCCACTGGGGTGTGCATTACTTTAAGTGACTATTGTAATATAACTTGCTGAGAAAGTACCCGTTTGACATCGGAATGGATGCTTTTTCTACTTCGCCCAAGTGCGAATGCCGTCATCAAGGCGGGAGAAAATGGATCCTGTAAGTGCTGCACAGTCTATTAGTGCATTAATTCTTCTACAAATGGAGCCCTTCACCGACGGTCAACACTTATATCATCTGGCCTCCTCTGCCACTCAGCTGCACTGATTTGATGTCTTTCCCAGGAACATACGCCGCGGTGGAAACAACAAAGGAAGAGCAAGCGCCAACACCTGTGTTGCTGTTCTGCCTCCAGCTCAGACGTTTAACCATCATGTTACACTCTGACATTTGGAAGAACGTAGTGACTCACTCAGTGAGGGAGAGAGGAGCCAAATGGCCACGATGGAGCTGCTGGAGATCAGCTGGAGGCAAGTTCCAGGGTTATTGTTTTTTTTTTTCTGTCTTTCTCTTTTTCTTCACAGTTTTCTTGAAGTGACATGTTGTTTTTTTTCTGACAATTTTCTTACACTTTTAATATTACCTTGTCTAGACTATAAAAATGTGGTACCTCTT